AGCAGCTGACTGGTCACGTGCTGACCCTTAGCCTTCAAATGTATGGCTGTCGAGTGATCCAAAAGGTATGTTAAAAAATATGATCATATTTCTGGTTTGCCATGTTCTCCTCTCTGAACATGCAGGTGTCATCTTTCTGCATGGTCTTAATATCGAAATGGATGTAAACTAACTTCGTGAACTTTTAATTGAGCTTCTTGTTAGTGAAGGGTGAATGATGGTGCTGCATGTAAACTAAAATTTGGCATTTTCTGGAAAAATAGACTAGTGTCGGTATTATGCCATGATATTATCTAATTCTGGAAGAAAGAAATGGAAAGGGTATTTTCAAAGAAAGAAAATAAAGGGGGAAAGGAGATTGATAATTTGGTTATAGAAACTTTACTGAAAGGTTTCCATTGTCTCATTGAAGCCATTATACGGTGCTACCTTTATTTTAGCATTTTCGCTTTTGCTTTGTTCTGCCACAGCCTCTTTCAAAATAAGCGAAGATAAAGTTCAATTTTCCATAAACTTGATTTTCTCTTCGTCTAATTTTTCTTCTTACATGTATACTGAACATGTACTGAAAGATAGGATAGCAGGCTTGATAGCTTCCATTCTTTCTCTGCAGGCTATCGAAGTTGTTGAGCTGGATCAGCAAACCCAAATGGTGAAAGAGCTTGATGGTCATATCATGCGATGTGTGCGTGATCAGAATGGCAATCATGTCATCCAAAAGTGTATTGAATGTGTGCCTGAAGATGCAATACAGTTCATTATTACGACATTTTATGATCAAGTTGTTACACTATCCACTCATCCATATGGTTGCCGTGTGATACAGGTTTGTGTATTCTGTTTTACTTGTTTGTCTATGTGTGATGATTGATTCATTTTTGAAATCAGAACAATTGCATCATGTCTACAAAATGAAGAACTGTATCATAGGCGCACAAGCCTTTGATTCCGGATATTCTGTCTTATCTTTGCTGGATATAAAGGAATGAGTGCATGCCAACAGCTATCTCGACTTTTGTGTTAGATAGTATAATTGTTCCCATTTGACATGAATTTGATTTTGTAGAGAGTTCTGGAGCATTGTAATGATCCAAAAACCCAACAAATAATGATGGATGAGATCTTTCGATCGGTTTGTATGTTGGCGCAAGACCAGTATGGGAATTATGTCGTACAGGTTCGTTATACTATCCTTGTGTTGATCTATCTGAGTTGAACCTTCTGTGCTAACCATCACACACTATTATTTATTGAGATGAAAACGAAGGTATCATAATTATTTTGTTGCATGCAGTTACAGTTTCTGTATTTCTTGATTTTGTTGATATCTGTGGCGGTCTTTCTACTCTATATACTTCTGCGGCATGTGAGAATGACATAAAATTTTGATATCCTAGAGACACCTAGGGTCTGAGGTCTTTAAAATGGAAAGTTTAAGAACTATATTTGGCTGTATAGTTTAGAGGTTATGGTGAAAATAAAATGAAGCTTTACTGTGGTTATATTAGTCCAGTGGACTTGTATAAAGTTTGATGATATTTTACGTTGTAGTTATTCCATAAACGATTCATTGTTCAAAAAGACTGCTGTAATGGCCAGTGGCCTTTCCCCTTGCTTGTTCGCTTGTTGGGTTTGTTACTGTTGGTTCTCGTTGTAATATGCAACCTCCTCCATCCTTCCAGTTGTGCTCTGTCTTCTTTAATTTCGCTTCAAACTGGCTGGCTTAGTTACTTTTACCTGTTTACAGCATGTGCTGGAGCATGGGAAGCCTGATGAACGCTCAGCCATTATAAAGAAGTTGACTGGGCAAATAGTTCAGATGAGCCAGCAGAAGTTCGCTTCCAATGTTATAGAGAAGTGTTTGACATTTGGGACACTTGCTGAGCGCCAGGCATTGGTTGATGAGATGCTTGGCACCACTGATGAAAATGAGCCTCTTCAGGTTTGTGAATGACTTATCTTCTTCTTCCCTCCCTTTGACATGCCTAGTGCTGTCACTGTGTTGGAGAATCTGAAATTATATAATTTTATCATCTTAGAGCTCTGCGGTTCAAGTCGTGTTTGGGTCTCACATGCAGGCAATGATGAAAGATCAGTTTGCAAATTACGTTGTACAGAAAGTGCTTGAAACTTGTGATGACCAACAACTTGAGTCGATCCTCAACCGTATAAAGGTGCACTTGAATGCTCTGAAGAAGTATACCTATGGGAAGCATATAGTGGCACGTGTAGAGAAGCTCGTTGCAGCTGGAGGTACGTTGACGCACTTGTTTATGGTTCTGATGTTACTCTTTTATCCAGTTGAGTGAAAGTAGAGGAAGAAATGAATCTAACAAGAGAGTGGTTTTACTTTCTACAGAGAAGCGTATCAGCATCCTTACTCTGCAACCTGCTGCTGTTGCTACTTAGATGGCATAGGAGAAGTTGTACAGCTAACTGAGGATAGTATCAAGGCACCTCTCTCTTCCTTAGTTTCCGAGTTTTCCGCTTGCTAGTTAGAATGGCCCTGTCCTATTTATGAGGACAGATAGTGTGGCCATGTGCAAATAAACAAATTGTTGGTTGTACTTAAGTAAGTACCCCTGTACATTGTTAGTTGGAGAGTATACCTAGATTCAGGCTTTTCTAGCTTAAGGGCTCAGAATCGCAACACTTGCCAATGCTGTTACGTAGCAGTTGCAGAGATGAGATGATAGAAGAGGGTGGGACTACTGAGCGAGAAGAAGTCCTCATCGTTTGCGGGTGTAAAAAAAGGTACAATGAGATGGGTGAGGATGTAGCGAGTTTGCAATGTTTGACTGTACAAAGGTGTTTGCAGGCAGAGGGACAAAACCAACAAAGCCTTTTCTGTTTAAGGAGAGTCGGGGGAATTTCATAATGTAATGGATATTTCTTTGATATCTAAATAATCCTTTCCCTATAACGAGTTTCCTCGAATGGGGTTTGATCATCAGATCATGCGCCCTTACTATTTCACAAAGTTCAGAACTTTATACGAATGAGCATCAAAATCTGTCAATCAAGAGGGGCAGAAGGTGATAACATAACGAGGAGCAATACAAGTCTTGAGCCCAGAAGCCTCATCAAAAGCAAAGCTATAAGCCCTAGGGCAAATCGCCTTGAAGACAATACCAAACACACTCGGCTTGCAAGCCTTCGGATCAGCAAATTCCCCTCTGCAGCAATAGCTATCACTTTTGGCAGCCAAACAAGCGCTCTTGCAACCCACCACTTTCCCCTGCCGCTCGATGACCAGAACAGAAGGGCACACCGCATTCAAATCAGCCTCACAAGCAGCCACTCCACACTCCCTTCCCAGGCCATTGATTGGCACAACCGAGACCGGAACATTGAATCCGTCGAGCAGGCTGACATCGTAGAAATGTAAGGCCGATGCAGAAGTTCCCAGGGTCATCTCGACTAAGGTCGCTGGAGGGACACCGCCGATGCCTCTGCACTCGAGCATGCCAGAGCAGTCTCCGGTCTGGCAGTAGCCTTTCTTGGTGGATTGATCGAAACTGCAGCCTTGTCTCGGCCAGATTCTGCCCGACCAGTGGCGGGGAACTTGGAAGGTAACTTGTTGGCCACGGCAGAGATGGAAGCCGCCTTGTTTTGGGGTGCTGTGGCCTGCATTGCCCAGGATTCCTGGCCATACGCTGTAGTCGCAGTTGTTGAGTATTGTTAGTTCTGTTGTGGCGCCATCTGCACATCAAACATGACAAACAAAAGTAAAGAGCATGAATTGGGGAAAGAAGTAGAGGGAACGGAACTTGAATTTGTGAGAGGTTGTACCTGTGATGGAGATGAGGGCGGGGAAGTGAAAGAAGAAGATGAGAAATGAGGAAGTTATCTGCATTTTCGCTTCGAAGTTTTGGTGGAATGTGATTGAGGAACAGAAGAGAACTGTTTCGGCTTCCAGTTTCAACGGCAGAACAGTTAATTTTAGCCCTGCCCTACATTGGCAGTTCCAGTACTTAAACTTAACCGGGTAATCCTACCCAATAAAAGAAGGGTAGGATTGAGGTTTGATTTTGACCACAATTGTGCTTACAACTCTTCCATATATGTTCCGGGCGTGCAGGTGAAACAGTAGAAATTAAGAAGGTGTAAGTCTCACAGATGATGATGATCATGAGGCTGAAGTTCACAAAACCCACTAAGTGGGGTACCTAAGCAGACCCATAAAGCACATGAAAAACCTGCACAACAACGAACAGTGTCTTGCAAAAAGGAACCATTTCCATTTGTGGAATACGTACTAGATACCCATTGCTACTGGCTAAATAGCAAGTGTCTCTCTCAAAAACAAAAACGAGTGTCTAGAGTGCATGCACCTAGCAGCACTGACAAAAGCTCACATGGGATGAACTTTCACTAGTGGTAAGGAAGTAACAGGATAAACAGGAGGTAAAAGACACAGAACTGTTGTTTCCTTTCTCCCAAGCTGGGTTTTTGCTGAATCTTCCTGCCATACCATGTTTCCTCTTTCATCTTCCCACGTTCCAATTCATATAGAAAATCATCAAGTTGTGGATTCTGAATTCTGATACTGCAAGTTGTGCTATTTTTTTTTTTTTAAATTTGGGTAGATGTATTGTTGTCCACCGTTTCTGCAGTGGTTTTGGTTCAACTTTGATCGATGCCGGCAAACTTTTGTCAACTGGACTAATATTTTATAGACAGTTCCTTTACGAGAAGCAAATTAATAAAATGTTGCAATTTGCCCTAATGATGGGCTTCCCTGACGTTATCATGTACATCATTAGCCAGAGACAGTGTCCATGTCAACACCGTTGGACTCAAGTTGACAATGATACTCTGTTCTGCATTCTTCTGGCAATGGAATAAAAACAAAGTGGGAAGGAATCTGCAAACCCATCTACTATTGTTCAATTCAGCTACAATCCTGATAGGGGCAATCAGTCATAGAACAAAACCATTTACATTTACAGAAGCAAACTACACTGAACAGCGTATAATCCATCAACCAAGGTGAACTGCTATCTACACTCATTTCCACTGGCAGCAAGCGAAAGCGATGAATCGGAACAACCTTCGACATCAGCATCCCCGAAATCTCCAGCCGACGACCAAGTACTCACCTTCGTGAAGTACGACGGATAAGAATGTGCCCCAAACTTCAACCTCACCTCACCTTCACAACCACTGTCGCCATTCTCACCATTTCCTTTCTTCCCATCGTATTCATCAACCACTTCAGGCAATCCCACCTCGCCTTCCAAGTACCTAACCACCTGCCTCATCGTTGGCCTTGCCTCGGGCACATTGTTTGAACACATCAGCCCTAACTTCACCACCACGACAGCTTCCAGCTCGTCGAAGTCTCCATTCAGCTTTGGATCAACCACATCAAGCACAGCACCACACTTCCATTTGTCCCACACCCAGTCCACCAGAATGAGCTCTTCCGGTAATGCCTTGGCCTCGATCGGCCTTCTTCCACAAGCCACTTCGAGTAGAAGCGCGCCAAATGCAAACACATCGGAGCTAGTGGTTGGCTTTCCGGTTCTAGTTAGCTCAGGTGCTAAGTAGCCCAATGTGCCCACTACCCTTGTTGTGCCAGGGTTAGACCCATGTTCATACAACTTGGCCAGACCGAAATCGCCAAGCCTTCCATTAAGCTCAGAATCTAACAACACATTTCCTGCTTTAATATCTCTGTGGATCACAGTCTGCTCCCATTCTTCGTGCAGATACAGAAGCCCTGATGCTATGCCTTTGACGATTTTGAATCTCTGTTCCCAGCTGAGTATCGCTTGAGGCTCGTCGAACAAGTACTTGTCCAAGCTGCCATTCTCCATGAAATCGTATACCAGAAGCAAATCCTGCCTCCTTCGACACCATCCAAACAACTGTACCAAATTCCTATGCCGAAGTCGACCAATGGTGGAAATCTCGGAGGCAAATTCCCTTAGACCTTGCTTGGATTCATGGGATATTCTCTTGACCGCGACTTGGGTAGCCGAAGTTCGTAAAGTGCCTTTGTAAACTTTCCCAAATCCACCGAATCCAAGCAACTCCTTGTCTCTGAACCCTTTGGTTGCCCTCTTCAGCTCTTTGTAAGGGAACCTGTGAGGCCCAACATCAAGCTCCCAATCTTCAATTACATCCGCATTTCTCATCTTTCTAATGAGGTGAAAGGATGCAGCAATGGCTAGTACAATCACACAAGTGACAGAGATTGATACCCCCAGGATTAACCCTTTGTTGCTGCTCCCAGAACCGGGGAGTGAAGGGAGATTGGAAAGGGACAAACTTTTAGCTTCTCCATTAACGCAAAAGCTCCACCCAAGAACATAGTGAGTGCTGGCTAGCAACCCAGTTGAGGAAGAGAAACCCACAAACATGTAGTCCAAAAGAAAGCGGGAGAGATCCACATCAAAGGATAAAATAGGGGATTTGGGTTTATTCGAAGAAGGAGCTAACCTAACTTCCAAGAGATTCTGGCTTGAATCGTAATCCACCCAAGCTTGAATCGGTTTACCACTTTTGAGGTTCAAATCTACCTTGGTGGAATTAGCAAGAAAATACCCAGCTGGAACTGATTTGTTCGATTGCAATCCGTCAATATCGATCCCCACATGGTTATCATTTATATCCCCAAACTCGAAATCTTGGACGGTGTCGAATTCGACGGCGAGAATGTGGTTGGAGAAATTACCCACATCGGTTGAATTGAAGAGGCCGAGATACTGGCTGGGGAGAGCATTGGGGAGTTGCTTTGAGCTGGAGAGAGTGAAGGCTAAGCCATGGCCACCGAGTTTTGGGTACTCTGGAACTATGGCGAAAACGAAGGCGGTGGAAAAGGAGAAAGCTTTACCATGTGGGTTTTCCTTGAGCTGCACTGGTGGAGAGTAAAAAGCATGGCCGATTAAGCGGAGAGTGTCGTTTGTCAAGCGAAGCAAGCCGTTGTTTTCGATCTCTGCAACTCCGGTCAAGGTCAGGTTGCTGGTTGCTGAGTCGAACCCTTCGAAGAAGAGCTGGGCCGGCTGAGAAAGAACTGACCGGAAAGTGAGGAAGGAGAAGAAGAAGAAGAAGAAAAGCAGGGGCAGGGGCAGGTTTCCGGTCATGGCTAATAATGGTTGGTGTAGTAGAGCTTGGAAGTTTTCTTGAGCTTGGTGAAAAGAGGAGATGCTCTGTTTCTTTGGCCTGTTGGGCTAGAACTGAATGAATGGAGGAAGGAGGTTGGCAAATGGCAATGGCAGTGGTGGTGATGCTGTCTTGTTTTTGTTGTTTTGCTCAGCAAGCTCGTGCTTGTGTAATTTTTGGAGTTGTTGCGGCAGAAGGATGGAAAGAGACGGGAAAGAGACAGCGAAAGCCGAATGGGGGAGAGCAGGGGTTAGACTTTGGACTGAGACAGTTAATTTATGACATTCTGTTCTCTTATTGTTGTAAATGAATGTCATTCCTTCACTGATATTTAATTATTTATACCGACAAAAATGTCAAACAGATTAAGACAATATTTGTATTAGTGGTGGTAGTATGTAGTTCAAAATCAAAACATTTTTTCATGAATAAAAACGGAGTAAAATACTTCGAGTACTACTAAAGTTTGAGAATGGTGGAGTTATACCTCTAAACTTTGAGAATTTGTACTTCAACTTGATATTGAACCAATTTTTTAATAAAAAAATTTAAAATCTTTATTATTATGTGTTCTAATAATTGAATAATTCGTTGAAGCAAGTATATCCTATGAATGCTATCTCGATATAAATAATATGATGATGTTATATTAAGTTCTCTTACGTCATGTTGATTTTGTCTAATTTTCCATGTTAAATCTCCTTTTAATTCTCTAATATTGTAAATGTTCCATATTAGTTAAAATTACTAATTCTAATTCTCTTCCTATATTCATATTTTCGTTTCTACATTTGTTATTGTATGTTGTAGCTTTTATAGTTTATTTATTACTTGGTTACTTTTTGTCTCTTTTCGTTCTATTTTTTTAATTACTTGAATATGTTTAATTCTTTCTTATTGTGTTTCATTTTTCCTACTTTGGTCTTTATGTATTGATGATCGACTAGGTTCTATTTTAACTGTTTTTAATGGTGCTTCTAATTGAATTGAGGGTTTAAATAAATAGTCTAATATTGACTTTAAATATTTATTATTATCTTCTAGTATATTTATTCTTCTTCTTGATATTCGTTTACTATTTTTACTAGCTTATCTATTTTATTGAAATTTTTTGATTAGCTATTCCAATTGTACTACCCTGGGGCACCTTTAGTAGATACGAGAATAGGTGTATATAGAAATAAATCGAAGTAGCTAGGTAGCTTGTGAGAGATAGAATTCCCAGGTAATTTAGAAGGGTTTCTAATTTTATATTAGTTAAAACTTGTTGAAATAGTTTTGGATGTTCTTACAAGTTTTGCGCGCCAAAAAGTAATTAAAAGTTTGGATTGGATGAAAAACTAGACGGATGCACATTTTAGCGACTTTAATGGTACCCGACGCCTTATTCAAACTTAAATGGTATGTCTACCCAAATTCTCAAACTTAAGTGGTACCTGAGATATTTTACCCAATAAAAACATATATGAAACTCACATAACAACTCTATCTTGTCTCGTGTTTCACTGTTTTGTCTTGGTCGTTGTAAAATGATCAATGGACTTCACGAACTCTTTAACCGACCTTTATTTAAACCTTGATAATATTCTCTGTCGTTTTCGAAATTTTCAATAGAATAATTCTAGTGTTAAACCGATAATATTACCGAATCCGCCTTAATTATCATTTCCATTCCATTTCATACACGTCTGGCTGTGTAAAGCAGTTATCCAAGCTTGTACAAGAAGAAACAGAAAAAGAAAGTTATAGAAAGCAAAATGGAGATAACTATTGCTTTAAACAACATACCTACTTGTTTGCCTTCCAGCCACAGTTTTAAGCACTGAATTGGTAAATGCCCCCATCGACTCCGTTTCGCTGGTGGCGCTATGGATACATACAATACAAGTTTACGTAATTAGCTTGAACTTAGCTAGGGTCGGCTGTAGCAATAATAACAGTTGTAAGTTGGAGACTTGGAGTTGGGTTGATTGTGTCGTCAACTTAGTGGATTCTTTGAAAGGGATATCTATCTGTGGGATCACCCAACTACGTGCTGATCACCCACGCACCTCACCACAAAGCATTGTTTATTAGTTCATGTCAAACCAAGTCTGTGTTATTCAGTATGGTCATGATGGCTCTCATCTTTTGTTTAATTTCCCAAACTCAATTTTGATTATAATGCATGCCAAGGATCCATAGTGGTTCATGATTCAGCAGTTTGATTATTATAGAAGCGTTGGTTAGACAGTGATAGTAATTGTTTATATGCTACAACACAAAAGACTGTGTAATATACAAATTCATATCATCCATCTCCACAAGTTCTAACAAATCATCCAAACCGTCTCACAAAAACCATTATAATTTTTTTATTAAATTCAAGTTAGTTGTGAGACTGGCCGTCCATAGTGGACCAAATGCGACAAGAATGTTGGTGAACGAAGAAAATGAAGCATAAATAAAATTAGTAATTCACGTTGGATGGTCTTAAGTTAAAGGAATTTTTTCTCAACCTTTTGGCGGTAAAAATAGTGAACCAGTGGGCCAGCAAAAATGTAGTGGTTCATCTGATTTCATACCTTCTAGTTAAAAACCGTTCAGTCCACCCCAAACTAGAAGAGTCTGTAACTGGTTTGGTGGTTCGAATCACTTATTTCCATTGGATTACAACTAATGCATAGTAAACGAAAGAAAAAGTAATTCATACATTTATCGCGCTTTTTTTATTTATGAAAATAGTCCGTGACATTTTAATCATTCGTTGAGAGATTTCGAACTGCATTAAGAATGAACACAAATTCTTCATCGATCGAATGGAACAAATGTGTCAATAATTCCTCCATATCTGAGTACGGTTAACCTCTAAATCTGATACAATAATCGCTTATATACATGGTATTAGTAAACATAATTTCCACCGTGCAAGTTGTAGTAGGCATGTTTTCCTCATGGACCGGCGATTAACTGCTTTTAGAAGAAGAGCAACACCACATGGAGATCTGCCATTGCCATGGACGACTGTGGTGCAGTGGCCGGCCGGTTGGAGATGTTGATGCCCACAAACCAAAAGAAGATAAAAATCACAATCATTAAAGCTTTACACTCCAAAATATGACACATTTTGTATCTTAATTTAGCATCACTTCGTCACTGCAAGTACCAACCTTTCTTGTCTGGTCTCTTTCATGTTCGGTTTATCAATGGGAGGAGGTCACCAATAATTTGAACTTTCATTTGCTTTTGGTTTTTTTTAAGCCAATTTTAACAACAATTTGCACTAGACAAACACAGTGTTAGGTGTACATAGCTGATGTGCAAAACTTGTGATTTCCTTTTCATACTAAGAAAAAAAAAAAATAGTTTGGTTCTGTTGTTCACATGATGCATAAACATAACTATTTTTAACTCGTTAGTTACTTATGTTGTCCACTTGCATTTACATACTGTTTACTTGTGATTTTGGTTTTGTTCAATGAGCAAACAATTTATGTTCTGTAATTCTGAGACGAATGTGGTGACTGGAAATTTAGTGATTACGGAAAAAACAAAAGTTTAGTTGTAAAGAAAATATTGATGGCGCCAAAGTGTATTAACTATTAAGGTTCCTTTTACAAATTTATTAAAGATCCCTTGACAATTGGGCCTATGCTCGTTTGAGAAACAATGAAACCAGAAATGAAATGAGCCCAAGCCCAAAAAATAATTAGAGGACTTTTCCCTATGTTTAACAAGATAGGTCCATCAACAACCTAAAGTGTAAAGGAGTAAAGGACAGCCAATGGCCCATTACCATTGATTTTCCCTTTTGGCCAATGTTCAAGCCATAAATCCATGTTACCTAGTGATGGGCTGATGGCCCGTTAACATTTATTTTGCCTTTCGCCCGAAAAACAATTTCACCTATTCAATATTTCATTGGGTAAATAAATGATTGAAGAAAAATCAAAACAAAAAATATATAAAAAATCGAGATAAAACGGATTAAACGGATAAAATAACAATATCCACAATCTATCCCATGCTAGTGTGAGTTGGATAGGATAATAGCATATTAAGAAGTTTGGATTGTCATTCCTGTATGTAATTAACTTTACTTTATATAGGTAAGATGGTAACCACTTACAAATTAAAGTCCCAGGTCTTTATTTTCCAAATATAAGATATTACCAACATGAACGCTAATGGATGGCTACTAAGGAAATATCATTTGTTGGTTCCATTTGCAAATGTTACTTCAACAACATTTCTAGAAATGCAAATGATTAATGTTTTTAGAATGCCGGATTAAGAAGTGTATAGTTATCAACACTCATTTTAGATCCCGATCAACGAAACATCAACAAGTACAAAAAAGAACGAAAGAGAATCCATAAAGACGAAGAGAAGAACATAATTAACAACATTAATATATGTTTTCTTGAATACATGAAGAAAAAGAAGAAGAAAAAAAAACACCAATCCGTAAATAAGAAGGGATATAACGCAACATACAGCCCTTGATCCTCTGCAAATCCGCCCAACAAACCCCTCCTAGAAGAAGCAGAAAAAAGGACCTTAAAATTTCACAAATTCAGAACTGATAAAGGCAACAGCTTCCATCATCACTCCTTGCAGTTTGGATCAAAGTCACCCGCTTTTGGATCTAACTGTAGAAAGTCCCGCTCTCCATGGCATCCTTGTTGGCATCGCCAAGAGCAGCCTCGTTCAAGTACTGGTCAGCCAACTGCACTCTCTTCACATTGTCTTGCTCCTGCACCAGCATGTTCCCGTACCCCATCAGCGTCTCCAATGTCATCGTCGGCTGCTCGAACGTCGGCGGCGGGTCCTTGGAGTTCACCAGCTTCTTCCCGATCGTGTCCACTCCCACTCCGGAGATCCACTTCCTCACCTCGTCGTCGTACACCCTGGCCCTCAGCGCCCCGAAGAAATCTGCACCCACACAAATCGTCACAACATTCGTTAATATGGTATCAGAGTCTTTAACTAGAGATAGAGTGTGTCAATTAGACTGGATTCATAGATTAGTGAATTGGATTGGATTCATGGATATAAATCCTAATTGCCATCTCTAACTAGAAATCATGGTTTCTCACGACTCCAAAAAAATCAACAACGATTTTAGCATAAAATACAGTAAAAGTTAAAATACTGTACCGATGGATTGGCCGGGGAAGGCGTCGACGAGCTTGACGATGTCGTCCTTAGGGACATTGTCGGTCCTGAAGATACCGGTACATACTCCGATTCGGTCTTCTCTAGTCGGGGCCCAGTAGAACTTCTCCATACGCCCGTCACGGATGAGAGGCGCGTAGAGGGTGGAGAAATCGTTTCCGGTGACGATGATGGGGACACGGGCGTTCTCCTCCTTGTTGTACATGCCGGGGAGCTGGACGTTGGTGGGCGCGTCGGCGATGTTCATGAGGGTGGCGTTGACCATCTGGTTGTTGACCGTGTACTGGGTGGTCCCGCCCATACGGCCGGCACCGGCGTCGAGATCGTTGATGAAGAGGCAGCACATTTTCCCCTTCTTGATGATGTCGGCGGCCTCACGGTACCTCTGCCTGATCAGCTTCGCTGGCTCTCCGGCGTTCCCGCTCTCCAACTCTCCGGCGCTCATCATGATTGGGCTGGTTGTACAAATTTCCACATTAGCTACATTAATTAACTAGGAACAAGAGACATATATGTTTGTCAGTTTGTGGAAATGAGGCGGTGGCCTCACTTGATTCCCATCTTGGCGAAGACGAGCTCAGCTTGGAAGGATTTTCCTTGACCTTTGCCTCCCCACACACCCAAGATCAGGGGAACCTGTAGGCAGAGCAAATCAGAAGGTCCAAATTTTGATCGAATGAGTGTTGGAACCAAATAAGGGAATCGATCCAAGGCTGTGGGGGATTTAGTAAGGATGGAGAGTTACCTTAATGTTAGGGAGGTTCAAGAAGTTCTTGGTGATGTGGACGACGAGCTTGTCCATGAAAGCAGGGGCAATGTAGAGACCACCCATGGTGTTGTCAAAATCGTATCTGCACACATATAACACAACCAACTATCAGTTACAATGACCACTTGTTTCAGTTCTCGAATTACGATACTCTTATTAGTTAATACCGTGAAAAACTAACCGGTAATTTCGATCACACAAGGCTCTCATAACATGTCCAGAGATGACAAAAACGGTCCAAAATTGGGTAATGGGTATTGTTCAAACCCAACTTATTATTAGTCAAACCAAATTTGAGTAGTTTTACTTTTGGGGTATACACATACCCTATTTTTCATTTAGATCTAAATTGGATCCATAGTATTAGAATTACAAAACAAAATGAATACCCGATTATAATGTTTTTGTTTTGTTTTAAAACAAATATAAATGTGGAGACACCTATATTAAAGGGGTATAATGGGTTGAATATGATTAATAAAATTGTTGATATTGTGTTTTGTATATACAATCATCTAGACCAACTAGACACATTTGTGTCTAGTCCAAATGAATTGACCCAAATGGAAGTAAATCCAAACTCAATTCAAACCCAAAACCACTTAGAATACATATGGGTACATTTGGGTCAGACCTAACACTCATATGTGTCACGATAATTGGGTTAAATTACCCTACAAGTCAACCATTTTTATGTCTAACCATATCAAGAACTAGTTGATTATAATAACTCAAGTTATTAGAAAAAAAATTAATAATGAATCATATATCACTTACTAACAAATAATACAGTTAATACTACTAAGATCCAAGCGATTTGTTCCTCTGTCTCCCTCCTTAGACCATAGAGAGTAAACATCTTAATTCAATTCCCCAAATATATCCTAGGCTTACTCCAAACACTACAACACTTACACGAGAATATAGACAAGTACATAAACATGCAGATTATTGTATTCATTAAAAGAAAACATGCAGATTGTCTCTTACCCTAAACGTTTAGACATTTAGCATAGAGATGATTGCCGTAAACAGAAGTAAAGTCCATTCAAACATAAATTTGCAACGTTACCTAGATAGATTAGCCACCAAAATAGGCGAGAGACAAGTCTTGAACAAAAAGGCAAACATAGAAAGAAAGAAGAGAAAAAGAAGAAAAAAACAGAGTAATTAGTGGAAGTAGAGGATTTACGTACGTTCGGAGTCCCTTGCTGATGTAGTCGTAGGAGCTCATGACGGCGTAGTGAGTTCCGGCCATCTGGGGAGCCTGGAAGAGACTGTCCACCATACCTTTTCCCCTGGTGATGTCCTGCTGGTCGTCGGACATGTCCGTCGCCAGGTGTCCCCATCTGTCCTTATCCGTCTGCTTCTCCTCGTCCACGTCCTCAGGGACAGCCGCCGCGACCACCTTGAACCCGGACTTGGGGAACGACCTTACTCCTCCCCCCAATTTCTTCAGGGTCGACCCGAAGAAAGCCGCGGTCGGCACCGATGACCCGGCACCCGACCCGTTCAAAGCCAACTGTAAATCAAATCAAACCAAACCACGTACCCACATCGTAATTAGTCGGACTCTACTTAATTCACTAACAGAGTGGTAAGGAAGTAAGAAGAGAATGGTACCGGAGCCCGGTTGACGGCGCCGACGGTGGAGATGGCGGTTGCGGCCATGATTTGGAGTGAGTGAGTGAACTTGTTGGAGATTGAGAGCTCTGGGGAACCAGTGATGAGGAGGGGATGAAGTGAGGAACTATATAGTGGGAGTACGAGTGATCAGGAAATTGGGTAATTTTGAGGATTGGCTTAGGGAGGAAGGGAGATTGGTAACGTCCACACGATGAAGATTGGTTAGCTGCCACATTGGCAGACCAGGACAACCACCCGCTTCGGGGTAGAGCCTCTGTTTCTGAGCGGGTGTGTGGATTTTGTGTGCTCTCTTTGCCACAATTAATGAATCCTTTTTCCGGTAATTCTTCTTCCCTTTTTCGAATATTTGCCACACGATGGATTATATGGATGACGAGAATTATTGGTCGTTATTTTGGTTGGGTTGTGATTTCTAAGGTGGTAACCCTCTGTTTTTCCCCTGTTTTGTTTCAATACTTTTGTCTGGTTGTGTCGAAATAATTTCCAAGTTTGGTTTCCATTGGAGGATTAGATTCCATTATCGGGCCCGTATTAACATTTTAATTTGCTTGTTTTTTCGAATATTTGCTTGTTTTTCTGGTTGCCATTTATCGAAAGGAGGACCAATTTGGTGGAAGATAACGACCAGGGAAAATGTGTTGGTACTTGGTAGAAGGTTTGGGCCATTTGTATCGATGCGGAGAAACGAGCTTCGGGGCAAGGACAGAAGATGGGAGGCCCAAACCCAGTATTCTAGAAAGGCCCAAACCAATAGACAATTTTCGTTCTGTGGAATTGGCGAAGAACACCCTTCAAGTCGCAACTTCAGGACAAACTTCTAACTAGTAACTTCTCTCAGGTTGCATTAAGGTAGATCGATCAGGGCATCATCCTATATCTACTACTTCAATCAAATGAAGGAGAGAGCTTGCTAAGCATGTTCATAATTAACTTAGGATTATATATGTATCATTAGAGTTGATCCCCTAAGTTAGCAAAACCAACTAATTCACATGACATCTCAGAAAGGTTTTTCCATGATCTCAATCATAACTCTCAAGTCATGTCATATTATCCAAGATGACAACTTGTAGTTGACCACTTTGCTAAACCTGATCAAAGACTCCATACCGATTCACATTGCTCATCATTTCATTGCCACACTGTAAAGTAATAATTCTTATATGTTCAACTAAAAATTGAACGAGTTTTCATAATGTTGGCTTCTGCTAAAAAATACAAACTCAAAATCACCAACAGATTCAACCCACACAAGAATTTAACGTTGGTCATATATGAAATAACACTACAAACTAGAGTAAATAATAAGAATTATACAAAACAAAGGATTACTTATGTTTGTTAGTGGTGGTGATGACAGCTCAAACATGATCAACAGGGAACTGGAAAACAATTGCAAAGCTGATTCACCACCACCCAGGCACCCACCCACTTCTTCATATCGAAATTGCTTACCTGGTTCTACGAGGATAGGCTGCTCTATGCATGCAAGAAATCATAGGCAAGGTAGTAGGATGGCAGAGCTGGCAAGCAACCATAGCCACCTACAAACAAGATTTGGAACAGAACAACATACAGAATCATGATCACAGGTCTATTGATAGAGAAAGACAATTTCATCGTTCAACTCGAAAACCTGGAACAACCTTGGAACAGTTATGAAAGGACAGAAAGTTGCCGTTGAAAACTGGCAGTCTTTGTCTCCTCCTCCAGTTGCTTTTATTTCTAGAGCCGTGAAGCATACAAGAATTACCACGGAACGAACGGTGGAAAGGAACATTGTTCAAAAAAGTTGTAAGCTCGAAGGACTGTCGCTTATTAGGTAGGTGGGTTGAACCTGATAAAAATGTAACATTAAGAAAAGGCTTAATCAAGAAGGATTAACTGGTAGTAAATTATAACAAAGCATCAATAACTAAGGGAGATTATTAACCAGTACACCAGAGAAAAGCCACCATTAATCATCAGCTCTACCTTCCAAGTTGCCCGCCTAAGCTATGAATCCTGCATATAAAAACAATATCAAGCCTTCTGCTTTTCTTTTCCTGCAGCCTCAAATGTGAATGAGCCGCAATGCATCGATCCTCTCAACCTTGATTTGACACAAAGGATTAAAATTATAACAGTAACCACCCAACATCAGCGCACTAATAAATCTACTTTTGGTAATAATCAACTACCGACCATTTTCATTTGTTGTGCTCTGCTGAGCTAAGCTGCCTTTTCTGTGCAGCTACTGCCTACTAGCGCAAGAAGAGTTGTAAGAGCATGCACTTATAGCCAAACAAATCACAGATCAGAATCAATCCAACAGAACAATCCAGGAAAACAAGACTGTAGTGAGTTATCTTGGTAGAAATCTCACTGCTGTCACTGTGGGAATATCATTCACGCGGCGCACAACCTGATTGTATACCTCGAATCACCTACCATCACGATTGATCAAACGATCATGGTGGACGAGGTTTACCTTCGAAAGAAGTTTACTGTCATAGAAAAGACTCAAACTCAAGTATCAAACTTTATGCAGATATGCTACAATACTGCAGAATTCTAAAATTCGACCATTTTTTGGTTTTCTCGTCACCTACTGATATTACTAGGCCAAAAGTTTAGATAATTGATACACCACTGTACTTGGCTAAGGCTAATGATGGCTAGTGTTTACAGATAAAGTAGCATTTGAAGCAATCATCGCTCATTTTTAGAGCCCAACTAATGATAGTGATGATTAGGTCTTCCATCAGTGTCTTATTTACAAGAGAATTTTATTGAAATAGAAATGCTCTTTTGTTTGAGGCATTAATATGGAAAGAAAGCATATACCCAATTTGAGAATCGACAAATGTAGCCCATAAAGGGGACCCTAAAGACACCTACTTTTGTGAAAAAGTGAGAATGTCTGTTGGTACAGAAAAAAGGATATACGACCCCTCACTACATGCCTTACTATAAACAGCAAATAAAACAAGTTCCTAAACCAATTCCATTCCACCCTTGGTACCAGGTTTAAAGTTTAAACCCCCTCCACTCGAAGAGAGGTTAGAAAAGGAAAAAAGTGGGAAAACAATGACAGGTCTAGGCTCTTCATGTGGTGCATGCAAGTTCCTAAGAAGAAGGTGCATGATGAAAGAGTGCGTTTTTGCACCTTACTTCAGTTATGATCAGGCTGCAACCCACTTTGCAGCAGTGCACAAAGTTTTTGGGGCCAGCAATGTTTCAAAGCTACTACTTCACTTACCTGTAAACTATCGAGGTGATGCTGCAGTGACTATTGCTTATGAGGCCCGAGCTCGCATGGGGGATCCCATATATGGCTGTGTTTCCTACATCATAGCACTCCAACACCAGGTTTCAAGCTCTTTCTTTGTCTCTTCATGCGTGATCATATCCCTGTAAGAATCAGCTAGAAGAATTTCACTCAGTGTTGGAAAGGAACAAGACTTCACAGACCACCAATCTTACCTATGTGTCTGTCCGCAGGTTTCCAGCTTACAACAGGAGATTGAAATTCTTAGCCACCAAATGGGTTTGAACTCTGTCATTGGGGTTGCTGGCAGCTCTAGTAGTTTGCATGCAAGTTCTTCTGCCTCAAACTGCGAAACACAACTTTCTCCACATCCAAATGCTATAAACACACAGTGCCAACAGAATCACGAAAATATAATGGCTGGAAATCAAGATTTTGACAGCAAGATGATCCCAGAGCTTGCCACTGTGTATGGATGGGAAAATCACAACCCCTTCTGCAACTCTCCCCCATGCAGCTTAGATGACCTCCTTAAAGGAGTTGACATTGAGTTGTTTCCATGTTGGCCTGACAGCAGTAACAATGGCAACTAAGAAGAAGCACCACCTCAGGATCAGAAGCAGTAGATCAGCTTGTATAACAGGAGATTCTTTTGTCGCCATATGTGGGCAAAAGTTTTGTTGTATCTCCATATTTTGTAACTAGAAATGTAGATTGTACAGTATGGTTTTGGGTTTCAAACCAAACGGAACTTCAGTGAATTTCAAAATATCTCACCATCCAGAACAGATCAACTACACAAGTTATCAGTTATCACTTGGCTGTAGCCTGTAGGTGAACGAAATGTCTCTCACTATTTGCATGATCACCAAATATGTACAGCGTACTGTTGCAAGAGCAACGAAGTGCACAATAGAATAAAAAATGCATCGACCTGCTGAAACATCAGTAGAATTCCTTCCATTCGATACAAGATATGTTTAATGGAAAAAAGACAAGGAAAGGATTCTTATTCGGGTAAAAAAGATGGTTCTTCAATCAAAAAAGTTTCTAATCAGAACATGTCATACGGTATAGAATCTACTTGACATAAGCAGCCTTCAACATTGATGAACATGACACGAAAATCAAGCTCTCCAACTGCTGCACCAACTAGTCTCTGATATTCAGCCACACCATCGCCATATGAACTTCGGCAAAGCTTTTAACAATCATGTGTGTTGCAGTTTATGTGGTGACTAAGAAGGTTACATGCTGCTGGTAAAATGACCGAAATTAAATCAGTAAGCAGAGGCACAAGAAGAACAAGCAAATGACAACAACAAAAGAAATCTAAGCCTACCTCAGGCGCACCATTCCCTGGCATTCTGGAACATCTTCAACCACGGGCTAGGGCCTTTCTTGTCTACATTCCAGTTGGTTGGGTACCAGGGGAATTGCCACATTAAGAAGCAACGTTCGGGATGAGGCATCATTGCAAGATGCCGCCCATCAGGTGAGCAAATTGCAGCTACTCCTAATGGAGAACCATTCATATTAAAAGGGTAAGTTTCTGTGGGATTGCCATCATCATCAGCATATCTCACTGGTGCTAAATTCGAATGAATAACTCGATCAAGAACACCATCGTCAGGGAAATATGCCCTCCCCTCGCCATGCGCTGCCCACACTCCCAGTGTACTACCTTCCATTCCTTGGAGCATTATAGCAGGAGAGTCTTGTATGGTCACACTTGTGAACCGGCACTCAAACCGACCAGACTCATTGTGAATAAATCTTGGCTGTGAAGGGTCACCACCAGCACCAAGCACACCACCAACTTGTGGACCAGGGACCCACCCCAAAAGAGCCATGAGCTGGCAACCATTACAAACACCGAGACTGAAAGTATCTGGTCGCTTATAGAACTCCTGGAATTGGGCCAGAAGAGGCTGGTTGAACCGAATTGAGGCGGACCAACCTTTTGCAGAATCAAGCACATCAGCATAGCTAAAACCTCCCACAAACACGATACCCCGGAATTCGCCAAGAGATACGGCTCCTTTGAGAAGATCGGACATAGCTATATCCCATGGTTCAAACCCAGCAGCATAGAGTGCAGCAGACATTTCCCTGTCTCCATTGCTTCCTTCCTCCCGGATTATGGCCACTTTGGGTTTTGAAGTTGCAGAGAGATATTTGTCATCAGTAAAGGATGGGGTGAAAGACAATTTCCACAACGGCTCGTGTCTAAATTTCAAACCTTCCTTCTCTGACTCCACACATGAAGCCAATCTTTGAAACTTCTCAAGCTGAAAACTGGCATCCTCCCACATGTCTCTGAGAAGAGTAGTTTCTTCTTTAAATTGAGTTTGCCCATCAACAATGAGTTCCACCATGGGAGAGGCAGTTACTTGACCAATAATTTCAGCAGTAACACCTCCACTGTTAAGTTTTCCCATTACCTTGTCTAAATTTTGCCTGCTAACCTCAACAATCAGGCCAAGCTCTTCTGCAAATAGGGTCTGGAAGAGACCTTTACCCTGTGACCGCAAGTCCAAAATAAACCCACGATTCCCAGCAAATGCCATTTCTAATGCACAGACAAGTAAGCCACCGTCACTAATGTCATGGCCAGAGGAGATTATTTCATCTGTGATCAGATCTTGGACGCCATCAAAAACCCTTTTCAGGTAGGAAACATCATCTAGATCAGGACATTCATCTCCAATTTGATCAAAAGCTTGAGCAAGGGCAGAACCTCCTAATCGCCGATTTCCCTTGGCCAAGTCAATATGAAGCAAAACACCTTCATTCCCTAACTTCAGATCAGGAGTTACTGTTTTTGTTATGTCGGGACAAGTGACGTAGGTACTAATAAACAGATTACCAGGTGCCTTAACAACCTCACCAGATGCATGCGCAGCCATTGACAAACTGTCCTTGCCTCCATCAATTGCAATACCAAGTTCAATCATGGCTTCTGAAAGTGCCGTTGCAGCATCATACATGTCAGCTCCTTCTCCATCAAGTTTGGCAGCATACATCCAATTCCCACTTGCTTTAACATCAGAAAGAGATGTCACCTTTGCCCACACCAGATTTGTGAGTGCTTCTCCGACAGCCAATCTGGCCATAGCTTTTGGGTTGAGCAAACCTTTAATTGGTTGTTCCCCAATAGAGCAAGCACCTCCAGTGAGGTCTGAATAACTCTGAGCAATGACAGCAACATCAGCAAGTGTAATCTGCAATGGACCGACAGTTTGTTGCTGGGCTACAAGCCCTGTGACACACCTATCAACTTTTGTTGTCAAAAACCGCTTTGAACACACAGATGGAAGACGTAATACCCTCTTCAAGGCATCAAATACAGTGAGCCCAGGAGCAATATTAAGGGGCTCTTGAGCTTTTGCAACCCGGTGGAATTCAAAAGTCTTCTGTGGCATATCGCCAAGAACTTTATCAAGCTCAAGATCTACAGCAGGAATAGGAAGAGGGAGTCCACTAGAACGGGATTTCTCAATAGCTAATTTATCAACTAGAGTAACACGTCCTTCACCACTTATTGTCCCAATAACAGCCATAGACAGCCTTTCCCTATCACAAATCGACTGCAAGAGACTCCGGCTTTCAGGTTTTATTAAGATTGCATCTTGCTCCTGATACTCGGCACCCCATATCTCGAGAACAGACATGGTGTGATCACCAACCACAATTGCCCGGATATCGATCTCAGCCCCCTTCGGATAAATAATTTCTTTCACAACATTGCAGTTCCCACCGGCCCCTTGATCGTGGATGCTAATAATAGGATTCTTGTCCCCCATTTCAATGCAGGCACGCACAACACGATATAGCTTTTGTGCCATCTCAGCATCTCCACGTTGTACGGCATTGAAATCAAGCTCAGCATCATTCTGTCCACTAACCATGCTGGATGCTGCTCCGCCTCCCATGCCGATACGGTAAGCAGGACCTCCAATCTTTACCACTAACATTCCAATATCAGGCTCCCCTTTAGTTATGTGGATATGGTCAATCTGCCCAATTCCGGCACTGAACATAATTGGCTTCAACCATTCTCTCCTCTCCCCACTTGGAAGTCTCATTCCAAATGTTCTAGTGTAACCTTGAATCAAGGGTTCCCCAAATTTGTTTCCATAGTCTGATGCACCGTTGCTAGCATCAATAAGAATCTGCAAGGGTGATGCCAAGTTTGATGGATATGCAAATGAAGGATCTTCCCAAGGTGAATATGATCCCTCTATATTTAGATTTCCGACACAATAGCCAGCGGTAGATGCAACCACGAATGAGCCCCGACCTGTTGCGTGGGTATCCCTGATTCGACCCCCAGCACCTGTCTCAGCTCCAGGGTAAGGTGCCACAGCACAAGGAAAATTATGTGTCTCGGCTGTAAACAAAACATCAAGATCCCGATAAGCTGCTTCCAATGGACAAGGCAAACCAGGCTTCATTGGCCGTAAATGCTTCACTGGGAAACCTCTGATTGCACTAGAGTTGTCCTTGAAGCCAATTACTGAGTTATTTGGATTTGCCTGTAAAGTACTCTTCACAATCTGCATAAGCGTTCTGTTCATAGGTTCTCCATCAATTAAAATTTTTCCAGTGAAAAACCAATGTCTGCTATGCTCACTATTAGACTGTGCAATGTCGAATAACTCCACAGTCGAAGGGTTCCTTTTGATGTCTTCCCTGAACAGCCTGGTATAATACTGTAAATCTTGCTCATCAAACGCTAAACCCATCTCCTGATTGATCTCCTCCAGGGCCTTCCGACCCCTCTCCATAACAGGCACAAAGCGAACTTCCTCGGGAACCAAACTGGTCGTGAAAGAAGTTAACCTCTGAACATAAACACACTCGGTCATTCGATCGTGAACCATGGAAGCAAACTCATCGATTTGATGATCATGTAAAGAACCCTTAGTATACAACAAATACCTCCTGGACCTTTCCATTCTTGTGATCTCAGTTAGTCCACAAGCTTTGCAAACCGAGACAGCATTCGCAGACCAAGCAGTGGTGAAAGACAACCTGGGACCAACCTCGACTATAACAGTACTCAATCCTTCTCTCTTCTTCTTCTCGAGGAAGCTCTGGGTATCCAAATTCTCGGGCTCATACGTTTCCTGAAGAAGCCACCTAAGAACACCAAGCTTGTCGCTGGAAAGCTGGGAAGTGAGCCCAACATTAAAACACTGCTCGGTCTGTAACCCCACAATCTCATTCGACACTTTTGTTTGAACTGACTTGAGCAATTCAAGAGTGGCACTCTCTTGAATAAAGGGTACCCGATAAAAATGGATAATCTCTGGTGCTGGTTCGTCAACCAACCTGGGATGTTCATCAACGGAACTGCTCACGCCCGCGGAAACCAAAGCTCTTGTCTTTTTCGAATTCGAAGAGCATCTCAGTGAAATCGCTTTTCTACCAGATATCCCCACATTAGACTTGTGCCCGGCGCGGAGGGTTCCCAATATCAATTGGTTTCGCCTGTTGAGGGATGAATCTCTGTGTAAGAACAGAGTTTGCCCTTGTATCCCCTGTGGGCAAAATCCACGGCCAAAACAACAAGGTTAATATTAAAATC